ATCAGTTTTATTATGATTTAACGTTGATTCGCATTGTACGTTTAAGCTCAAAGCGGGATAACTTTACATGCATAGGGGTTTCATCACTTGTACGTGCAATTTTGATTTTTTTGTGTCTGATACTGTGCTCCAAAACTTTAACGGTCTATTGTGAACGCCACCTAAATCTAATATAAACAGTCTGACCCAGTGATGATATTCACACCCTTTATGAGTCGATAGCCTAACCTTGTGTAGATATGATCATATGAGCCGATAACCACACCCCTCATCCTCACATAAGAGACCCAGACCCAATATATTTATATCACCACATGCATGATGCAATTGATAACTTAGATATCGCTATAACATGTATTTATTTATTTTCAGCCGAAAGCTGGTACAATACACTATGTGTTTTTCGATATTTGATCTTATCGCATACGCCACCGGCCACAGAGACCCTAGACCAGCGAGATCGCGTTTTGCGCTCGCTCAGCCAGAATTTAATCAAAAGTGATATAATCAAAAAATCCTATGTATGAAGTAGAAAAACTTGAAATAGCAACTCGAAAACTATTGGTTAAGCGTTTGTATGGCGGGATCTTACAATCACTCTCAAGTGCCAACGAATATTAAACATACCAAGTTGCAGCACACAGACTTGCAGCACACAGACTTGCAGCACACAGACTTGCAGCACACAGACTTGCAGCACACAGACTTGCAGCACACAGACTTGCAACACACAGACTTGCAACACACAGACTTGCAACACACAGACTTGCAACACACATACTTGCAGCACACATACTTGCAGCACACAGCCACACTAGCCCTTACTTGTTCGAGTCGGAAGGCTATACGTGCGGCTTGTATTTATGGTTGTATCTAGTTACATCCTATCCAAACGGAAATTTTGTAGCGCAAAAAATGGTTTATTGCATCGAGATAGTAATTAGTATGTGGGGCGAATATATACTGTATCATCCTGACTTTCATGGTATTCATACTGACGGTGGTGGTTGCACTATCGTATCTGCAAGTGGTTGAGTACTTGCGCACGAGTGGTAAATTAACCAGCATCACTACCAGGCATGTTTATTTAAATTCGTAGTGTAAGTATTTTGTCGACTATTTCCGATTGCACCGGCGTTCGAGAAAATAATCAAACCCGAGTACACCGAGTACACAATATCATGTAGTTATCCGATACTGTTTATTTGGTAAGTTACGGAGAAATGGCACTATAGATACCGTCCAACCTCATCCAACATACACCGCCTCCGTTTCAACCCTCTTTCTCATGCTATGCATATTTTCATATTTATAATCCACACCTCTTGCTGCACTACCTGTATGTGTAAGAAACAGTTCGTTTGTTATGAGCTATTTTCGTAGAAAGTAAAATCTGTCGAATCAATCCTCAAGTATTCGAAAATCCTACCTGTGTATGGATAAGAAGAAATCATATTCTACCATGACGCTGTCGAGCAGCTCTGCCGACAAATAAGTATGCTACGCTTCTCATCCCCTTGCAAGCCTTGTAAAAGCCTATTTGGCGCCCCATATTTCACTCATTGCAAATATGTCATGTCTTTTATAGACGAAAGACCCACTAGGAACGCTCAAGCAGACGCCTATGTACTAGTTTACGTGACGTATGATACTTCAAGTTATAAGTGAGAGAAAAGGCGACACTGTATAAATTGTTAACATGTTTCCCATGGCTCACGTGGTAGTTGCGATCATTTGAGACTGTGGATCTTCTTCAGGATGCTCGCCGTAGGTATATTCATTATATATCCGGTCACGCCGAAACACAAGCAAGCCTTGTTGTAAACGTAGTCGCAGTCGCAGATGTGTAGCCGCATTATAGTTGATTCGCTATGGCTGATAAATACTAATATGTTACAACATTTCTAAAACTCATTATCAATGCAGGAAGTTCACGCACATCGGAATCGGTATGTAATATTATGCTGAACAGTTTAAATGTACCCGGTTGACTCGTGTACCATATACTACCTTCCATGCACATCAAGTAATTTATTTGGTATCTATGTAAATTGCTGTTTGTTGTAGTCTGTGAAAGCTCGCATCTCTCAGAGCATATCTGTTCTTTCTACTCAAGATTCCACTAGTGGCAGTGGTTATAGTAAAGTTCAATTTTTTTTTCAAATTACAGAGGAGTTTACATTATATGTAATCATTATATGTAATCTGTGAGAAATTGCTTATCTGTTACACCTTGTAGCTAAATAAGTCACTAGAAAGGATAGATCATTGTATGTGAAATGTGATCGTAGTTCAATTGATTCCTCTTCTTCACATTTTACAGGTGCTCTATTTGTACTATGCTGGGGCCTATACTCGGAGGTAACCTCATGTTTGAACATCCCTAGGTGCTTGATTGCTTTGAGATATGCTCACACTCATATTCGCGGAATTTAAGTACTCTATAGTCGTGGTGGTTGGGTTTTTGAAAGTTTTTTTTAGAATCCGCCCGACAGAAATGTACACATACAGATGATGCCATGGATCTCTGTTAGCTTTCAGTGAATATTTCTTCGGAAAATCGGTCTCCATTGATATATTCGATTCAGAAACCAATATGTATATTTATATATATGTGTGTGTGTGTGTGTGTGTGTGTGTGT